GAGGGAGAGGGAGAGGGAGAGGGAGAGCGAGAGCGAGAGCGAGAGCGAGAGCGAGAGCGAGAGCGAGAGCGAGAGCGAGAGCGAGAGCGAGAGCGAGAGCGAGAGGAGAGCGAGAGCGAGAGCGAGAGCGAGAGCGAGAGCGAGAGCGAGAGCGAGAGCGAGAGCGAGAGCGAGAGCGAGAGCGAGAGCGAGAGCGAGAGCGAGAGCGAGAGCGAGAGCGAGAGCGAGAGCGAGAGCGAGAGCGAGAGCGAGAGCGAGAGCGAGAGCGAGAGCGAGAGCGAGAGCGAGAGCGAGAGCGAGAGCGAGAGCGAGAGCGAGAGCGAGAGCGAGAGCGAGAGCGAGAGCGAGAGCGAGAGCGAGAGCGAGAGCGAGAGCGAGAGCGAGAGCGAGAGCGAGAGCGAGAGCGAGAGCGAGAGCGAGAGCGAGAGCGAGAGCGAGAGCGAGAGCGAGAGCGAGAGCGAGAGCGAGAGCGAGAGCGAGAGCGAGAGCGAGAGCGAGAGAGCGAGAGCGAGAGCGAGAGCGAGAGCGAGAGCGAGAGCGAGAGCGAGAGCGAGAGCGAGAGCGAGAGCGAGAGCGAGAGCGAGAGCGAGAGCGGAGAGCGAGAGCGAGAGCGAGAGCGAGAGCGAGAGCGAGAGCGAGAGCGAGAGCGAGAGCGAGAGCGAGAGCGGAGCGAGAGCGAGAGCGAGAGCGAGAGCGAGCGAGAGCGAGAGCGAGAGCGAGAGCGAGAGCGAGAGCGAGAGCGAGAGCGAGAGCGAGAGCGAGAGCGAGAGCGAGAGCGAGAGCGAGAGCGAGAGCGAGAGCGAGAGCGAGAGCGAGAGCGAGAGCGAGAGCGAGAGCGAGAGCGAGAGCGAGAGCGAGAGCGAGAGCGAGAGCGAGAGCGAGAGCGAGAGCGAGCGAGAGCGAGAGCGAGAGCGAGAGCGAGAGCGAGAGCGAGAGCGAGCGAGAGCGAGAGCGAGAGCGAGAGCGAGAGCGAGAGCGAGAGCGAGAGCGAGAGCGAGAGCGAGAGCGAAGCGAGGAGAGCGAGAGCGAGAGCGAGAGCGAGAGCGAGAGCGAGAGCGAGAGCGAGAGCGAGAGCGAGAGCGAGAGCGAGAGCGAGAGCGAGAGCGAGAGCGAGAGCGAGAGCGAGAGCGAGAGCGAGAGCGAGAGCGAGAGAGAGAGAAAGTTACATTTATGAAGACAGGTGAGTCTAACAAATGAGGACTGAGACCTCTACAACAGGGTTTTTACGCCTGAAAGCAGGTGCATGATTTAACAAGCAGGTTGTCAGTCTAGATTTTATGCGCAGATGGAGAAAAAGCGCAGAATTTTTGTAATGAGATGAAAAGCAGAAATAATAAGAAATAATAAGAAAAGATGAAATGAAAGCCTGCTCACAACCCCGCCCAGCCTTGCGAACTGGGTATGGTGGATTAAGAACCCGGTTCAACGCTCGAGCAAGCGCTCTCCACTCAAGGTGTTCACAGCAACTGATAGGAACTCATATGGGGAAATTAAGTCACCTGACTACAAATTCATGAGCCTGCCAGAGGAGCATTGCAAGACCCATTGTTGATTGGAAATGATGGTTGCAACAATAGGGCTTGAAAGTGCTACGTCACAGCATAGCAACAATTTCAAAAATTCAAAAACTGGATCCACTTGGATCCAGTTTTTGTGTGGATCCAAGCACATTTCAAGCGGTCTTACCCACTGCATGGTGATGTAGCCAGTGAAACTGACTGATTTGGCTACTGGGGGCGGGGTTACAACTGGTGGCGAAATAAAAATCACACCTGCATGCGACATGAGTGGGTTGCTATGCACCCACACACTTAGGCAATAGCAAAGTCACACCTTAGTGGATCCAAAAATAGAAATCTGATGCCAAATTACTACTCCCTGGCCGTTTTGACGTCATCACTTTCAAGCCCTATACTCAATAGCCAGTAGAAAGTCTATAAACAGTCCAGCAACTCCAAGATGCAACCAACAACCACACAGCAGCTCAGTTTATAGCGCTTTTAGTTCAGGCTGTCACCATCATTGCTCAGTCTGCAATAACCTTACAGTAGTACCGTAGTACCACCTGTATTTATTATAACAAATGCACAATGGTACATGCACATACTGGCAATCAAAACCATCCCAAGTCAGCATACGGGCACAAAAAAGCCACCTCTTGTAATCACAGGCTCAGTGACCCGCAAACACACACGTTTACTACTACGGAATCAACTCCTCTGCAACGCTGGAAAACACTGCACGGATTGCAATGCATGACTAATAATAATTTTATATTATATACTAGCAGCACCCTCGGCCAGCGTTGCCTGGCCGAATGTGGCATGCGGGTGCCGGGTGAAGCAAGTACATGAACAGCACACGTGCTCAGCACGTGGTGGTGGCCAGACCGCTGAAGTCCTGGTGCATGGTGAGGGAGGTTCTTCATCGTTGGAAGGAGAAGGAGGGACGTCTGTTACGCCTTCGGGAGGCTGGTCAGGGTTGTCCATCACCTGGTGGCGGATGAAGCGGCTCAAAAAATTCATAAACTTACGAACAAAAGTGCGATGCGCTCTTCACTGCAGATCAGATGCAGAGTGCAGTCAGTGCAGATCTTTTGTATCCTTTTGTTGCAGATGTTTAAATTTGCAGAGAACAGTTCACGTGGTCCGCAGCGCTTGTGCGGCTGCTAGTGCTACCTATGAGGTATGGCCTAGGCTAGGTGGCTACATGATTCGCACGCTTCGCGTGCTCAGTGCTTCTGCGCGCGGCTGCTACTACTGCTACTCGTACTGATCGTGTCTGCTATACCACCTACACTGTTCGCACGCTTCGCGTGCTCAGCACGTGGTGGTGGCTACACGATTCGCACGCTTCGCGTGCTCAGTGCTTCTGTGGCCATGGCTGCTTCCGCTAGCTACACGATTCGCACGCTTCGCGTGCTCAGTGCTTCTGCGGCCGCTAGCTAGTATATATAGTAGTAGTACTGTGCTACACTGTTCGCACGCTTCGCGTGCTCAGGGCAGCGTGACACAAAAACACACGTCACAGGTGCCTCTTCTTTATAAGGAGCGTGACACACACACAGACACACGTCACAGGTGCCTCTTCTTTATAAGTAAAGATTATCCATATAAAAACCACTCTGTGAGCGGTTCTGAAAAACCTTTACTGGTACTGCCCCGTCGTAAAAGTAAGAAATTAGAACTGGCCCATTGTCCCACCAAATGCGAACTGATCCACCTAAATCGCGAATGACGGGACCCGAACGCACCAGTAGCACGAGGTCGGGAGGGCACAGGACAGCAATTCTCATAGGGTAACACCACCTACCGCTAGTACAGACGGTCAGTACATGGCCTATAGTCCGGACCAACGTCCCCATCTGCATTCACAGGTAGGAACCTCGTGCTACTGGTGCGTTCGGGTCCCGTCATTCGCGATTTAGGTGGATCAGTTCGCATTTGGGGGGACAATGGGCCAGTTCTAATTTCTTACTTTTACGACGGGGCAGTACCAGTAAAGGTTTTTCAGAACCGCTCACAGAGTGGTTTTTATATGGATAATTTCAGTTCTTTTTCCGTTCCCTCCCCACCCCAGCCCCAAAGGTAAACATGATGACCACGCGCGCGATGTACTGTATGTAGCCATGAGATTGCAATAACACACTGATACATACCAGCCCTCCCCGCCTCGCTACCCCGCACACAGATACACAAACATGCGTATGCACACGGCACACACACGTGGCCACGCACATGCACACGACACAAACAGGAAACTAAGTTCTTCATATATAATGCCATGCAAAGCAGTGGCCACCGTACTTGAGGAAGTCAGTTGTGAAACAAAAATAATGCAACTACAGCATGTAGACAAGCTGACGGCCAAAGCACAACATAGCAAACATGACATTTGCCCAAGGATTGCAGTTTGCAGACCACGCCATGGAAGCAGCGAATACAGAATGTAATATCATACAAAGGACAAGCAAGGAAGTGGCCATCATACACCAGAAACTTGCAGAAAGTCACACATCCAACAGATAGAGAAGTGAACAGCAATCTGATACAGCCCACACAGGACAAAGCTGACCTGATACTCGTCCCAGGATCGCAAGTGGCAAATCCTTTTCAATGCATAACATGCAGGTTTACGTTAGACGCATGGACAACATCTGACCGTGTCGCCAGCATACAATGTCATCACATGTTGGCCCACAAGTTACACACATGTACAGTAGAAGCACAATGAAAGCAATGGAAAAGTACGATGCGGTTGCTGAAGCATCTTCACACTTCAAATTCAGACTTCAATGTGGTCGTCACGGGATGATATACCTGCAAGATACAAGTGATGAAGAAAGAAAGCAGAAGGTCGTGAGGTAGGCTATGAGTAGCCCTTTCCCAAAGATGCCATAGTTTTTCGCAACTTATGCAGAATTGTCATAATCGAGCATTTCCCAAACTGAGAAGTGCAATGAAATCCACTTGCATGCACAGGAGCAATTTTGCAATATTATGATGCGCAATTCGACACGATCTGCGATGCTGCGTGCGATGTGCCCTGCTGTCATGATGGTGACAGTCACCGCGGTATGTTTTGTCAACGTCGCCCGTGCACTCTTCTGTCAAGTCCAAAGTGCTCACATACTTGGCAATGTCTTTGCTGTGATTAGCTTTTATCCTAGTTATGTCACGGGTAACTTTAATGAAGTACCCACAGGCCGTGTCGATCCGCACATCGTCCACTCTCTCATGCACTTGGCCTGCTTTGTCTGTGTATCCATTTCATGTGCGATCCACAAAATCGACTAGACAGTGGGTGCAATACGCTGTCTATCTGAAGACGTTCTTCTGGCGACATCTCGCCATGTACTTGGCCTGCTTTGTCTGTGTATCCATTTTCATGTGCGATCAACAAAATCTCAATGCACTACAGACTAGACAGTGGGTGCAATACGCTCTCTATCTGAAGACGTGAACCATTAAAGGGGAAGTTAAAGGGGAAGTTAAGGCAAAAATTAAAATTTCACCAGTTGTAGTCTTCGGGGTGCTGAGTCGAATGGTCGTGGTCCGAGGAAGCTGAGACGCTCCCTTCCTACTTGAATCCCAATCGAACTCGCGCACTTCCACCGAAACTGGGTGACTGCGCCCTACGAGATGGGGATTTGTATGCAAAATGTCACTAAAAGCGCCATTTCGTTCTTATAAAAGCACGGATGACCGCGATTGGCCCATATGTTGTAGTCTTTTGGACGCTGAGTCGACTGGTTTTGGTCCGAAAAGGCTGCGATGCAGCGTTCCGCCTTTATTCCCAATCGAACATGGTTGAACAAGCGGTCACGTGCTCCTGCGTACGCCAGTCACCTGGTCACCGTGCCTGCAGGGTACAACTTACTAGCCTGTTTGACCTTTTTTGGGTGCAGTCCTGTCACTCGAGTTGAACTCGAGTTGAACCTTGGTGTGAAAGTTGTCACCTGCTGGCGTGGTGACCAGGTGATTTGGGCACCCAGGAGCACGTGACCACTTGTTCAACCATGTTCGATTGGGAATAAAGGAGGAACGCTGCATTGCAGCCTTTTCGGACCAAAACCAGTCGACTCAGCGTCCAAAAGACTACAACATATGGGCCAATCGCGGTCATCCGTGCTTTTATAAGAACGAAATGGCGCTTTTAGTGACATTTTGCATACAAATCCCCATCTCGTAGGGCGCAGTCACCCAGTTTCGGTGGAAGTGCGCGAGTTCGATTGGGATTCAAGTAGGAAGGGAGCGTCTCAGCTTCCTCGGACCAAGACCATTCGAGTCAGCACCCCGAAGACTACAACTGGTGAAATTTTAATTTTTGCCTTAACTTCCCCTTTAATTTTTTTGGAAAAGTTATACGTACACCTGAAACGTAATGAAGTACAGGAATAGAGAGAGTGACTACAATACGCTCTCGACCTGATATAGTGATAACGTGTTAGAAGGTAACAGGTCTACAGTCCCACCGTACCCTTCCGACACGACTGTAGACCATTAATTTTTTTTGACCTGATAACGTGTTAGTAGAAGGTAACTGGCAACATATCAATGGGTTGCCTTACCGTGGTCTAGAGGAGACGTCTTCGCAGCAATATTTTCCCTCCTGCGCATTCAGTCGCCGACGCGACAGCGTTTACTGGGCCGTTCCAGTTGCGGAAGACATTCGATTCATCGGGCCAATTCAGCAACAGGGCTGTGGACACACAGGGGGCAGAGGAGAGACATTGTTAGTGGACAAGAAATATGCAGTGGCAAGTGGCGAGTGCCGCATGGATGTCAAGTTGTCATTCACAATTCAGCTATTACTTACGGTCCAGCTAGTCCTGCCATTGCTCGCTCGTCCTGGTTCCTCCTCGTTCGTCTTCCTGCACGTCTGCACTTCTCCTTCCCCACCGTTGGCTTTGCGGTATGGGGGTGCCGGAAGGAATTCCCACCATGTATCCATGTACATGAAGTCCCACCATGTCTCCACGGCCACGTCAGCAGTTTGTATAGTACCGGAAGGAGTTCCCACGATGTCTCCAAAGGCCTAGAGCGG